CTGGTTTTTTTTCATACTTACGGTCTTCTGGTTTTTTATGGTCTATTTTTAGTTAACACTTGCTTTGCTTTTAAATTTTGAATGGTTCCTTAATACAAAGCTATATTTGTCAGATTCAAGAAAGGTTTAGAGTCCAGTGAAGTTTTTTTCTGTGGGCACAGATATTCCAAGCAGAGCAAATCACTGACCAGGTGCAAAAGTTGACAGAATTGCATCCATAATTATATGCTGTGGTACGCTGTGAAGTACAGTGAGCATTATTAGAGATGGTCTGCATATCCTGGGTTCTAAGAAATTTCAAGGACTTTAACAGGTGTTCTTTGTGTGTTTGATTAGAACTTACAGAAAAGGAGAGATTTATGCTTAACAAGACAGTTCATCTCAGTAAAATTAATGTAGATAGGACAGCTGAGGAAAAACAAAGACTAATGATGGGATCTGTATGCTCTGTAACTGAACTCTCCAAATGAATTAACTTGTAAAATCTGAAATAGTCGAATGGTAGCTATTAACAGTGAAAGGACTGAGGGAATAGGTGTGTAGATGCAAGAAGGAACACCTGTATTATCAAAATAAATATTTAAATCGTCAAACTTGATGCCAATTATTGCTTAAAATGTTACATAAATTCTAAGTAATTTTTAGTCCTATATGTAAGCATCCATGTTGATACCATTAAAAAAATAATCTACATGTTGCAGTGTAACTTAGTATGTTGTAATGTTTTGTTATACTAATGATTTTGTATTGAAAAATTACTCACTCTAAGACTGTCTTTCTTTCTCAACTGCCTAAAAGCTAGTTATCAGTAATACAATATATTAACATATATAATAAAACATGTAGAAATACTGTTTTCTATATATTGGCTCTGATCACATTTGCTCCCAACTATCTTTGTTGTATTTTCTAGATAAAGCTCTGTATTTGGTATTTTTAAATTAAAAAGAGAATTGTAGTCTATATATATAGCTTATACAGATATTTAGAGTGCTGGAAATGTATGAGAATGGGGAATCCATTTTACGTATTTTTTGCTATCAACTACTAGTGTAACATTTACTGTGTACCCTTGAATATGGTGATATACCATATGTAACTGATTATATTTATTGAGGTATTTGTTAGAAAGGAATTTTGATTTTTATGTAAATTGGCATGGACTTAATTTTTTTCTTTGAAAAATTCTTTGCTAAATCTCTGATTGTTGTTAAAATTTGAAACAAATGTATGTTTTTTCAAGGACAGAGATTTAACAAAAAAAGACATTTTTCTTCTTTGTCAAGACAATGCAAGAATAAAAACTGTGAACTCTTCCAAAAACTGAGGATGAAAATACTTAGAATGAACAAAAAGTCAGAGGCTGTCTTTGAAAAATGTTTTTCCTCTCTTTTCCATGCACAGCACTTTGATGACCAAATACTATTAAGAAAAAAAAGCTGTGAAGTCTATAAAACTTTTTTCAGCAGCAGTTCAAGAATTCTTACCTTCCACCCTTCCCTTTCCCCCTGGAACAGTCCCACTTATACAGTAGTACATCCTCAGTTACTTTTTTTCTTCTTTTTTTTTTTTTAGTTTTCATGGCTTGGGATAAGTAACTAATTAGATGCAACAACCAGTGTATGAAGTCAGAAAAAAAGAATAAAATTCAGCTCACTTTCTCTGCACTATATTGTTTTTCCAGGTTAATTTGAGTAAAAACTAGCAGAAGTGTATGCTTCTAAGTTAAAGATGTAATCTGCCTCTGATATACATAGAATGGTATAGTTCAGTGGTGACGTGCCATTTTTGTGTGGTCACTTTTTGGAGTAGAATTGCACAGTAAACAGTAGTGAAAAAATGTTAGTTCTGCATTTACTTGCTGTTTTCCAAGATAAGTCCTGCATGTTCCTTTCTCTAAACAGTGTTCTAGAAAATGCTTTACCATTTCAGTTTTCAGGATTCTTTTTAAACATTTGTAGTGTCAATAAGCCTTGCCTAAAAACAGGGCGACAGCTAACTTTTCAGTGTAGATTGCTGTAGAAATATATGGCCTCCTTATAGTCATAGATACAAATTGCTTTAAAACTTAGCATCAGAGTAATTCCATATCATTGATAGAAAGTCTTTGTTTGTCCATATACAATAGCATTACATAAACAGTAGCAGAACAAATATACTTGAGTTAATAGCATTGAATGGACTATACAGATTATAACTGACCATATTTGTCAAATTAATTGTTAATTTTTGTTACTTACAAGAGCAGAAAAATTCTCCCATTGGTACTGGTTTGTCAATTGCCATTATAATTTCAAAGACATTTAGATAATCTGCATTTTGCATTCTGAATGAAGGGATATAATCTCTTCTGTGATTAATTTTGTGCTTTATCTCAGTCTGAAATGCTGGATGGAGGTAGATTGTACTAATTCAGCTTTTGGTCTTTCTTCTGCGTTTGAAAATAATGTTTCATATGTTTCTGAGTCTCATGGAACCAAAGCTGAGCTGTCACTATTCAGAAAAGACACACAGCAGATACAGAAAGAAAGTCACTGGAAGTCACTCATACTGCAGAGGGCTGGATGCAAGTGGAAAATACATCAATATTTTGGTTATTTGCATAAATATCATGCATTTTAGTAAGAGAGGAAATTTTTTATAATAGATGTCTTTTGTTCATATCCTAACCATTGTTAGTGGTATATTTTAGGAAGAGCATAATGCAGACTTTCTAATGTATTACATAAATATTACCATATAAGAGAAATAAGAGTCAGCTGGATCATTAGCTTTTGTGAGGTGATTTTGCTCGAGGAAAACAGATGGTGTCCTGTTCCAATGGCAAATACTAGACAAATCTTGGAAAGTCAAACTCATTTGTGAGTGCAGCCATACTGGTGAGGCTTTAATAGGCATGGCCCTGTTTGGTCAGAATCAAAGGTGTAGACCTCTGTAGCCTGAGTTCTGAGTGAGAGCTGAAGGAGAAATAAAATAATGCTTTTAATGAAGAGGGTTGGGCCTAAATGTGTGATGTTTTCAATGTCTTTAAAATGTTCGGGTGAACCTAATGAGGTTCAACACGGCAAAGTGCAAGGTTTTGCATTTGGGCCGGAAGAACCCCAGGCACCCGTACAGGCTGGGAGGAGTGGTCCTTGAGAGCAGCTCGGCAGAGAAGGACCTCGGGGTCCTGATGGACGAGAGACTTAACATGAGCCAGCAGTGCGCTCTGGCAGCTCGAAAGGCAAATGGGATCCTGGGCTCCATCAGGAGAGGGGTGGTCAGCAGGGAGAGGGAGGTAATTGTCCCTCTCTACTTGGCTCTTGTGAGGCCCCATCTGGAGTACTGTGTCCAGGTGTGGAGCCCTCAGTACAAGAAAGACATAGAGATCTTGGAAAGGGTCCAGAGGAGGGCGACTAAGATGATCAGGGGGCTGGAGCACCTCCCCTATGAGGACAGGCTGAGGGAGTTGGGCTTGTTCAGCCTGGAGAAGAGAAGGCTGCGGGGTGACCTCATTGCAGCCTATCAATACCTGAAGGGAACCTACACCCAGGAGGGGAGTAAACTCTTCAGAAGGGCTGACAACAGCAGGACTAGGGGAAATGGATCCAAGTTGAAGGAGGAAAGATTTAGGTTGGATGTTAGGGGGAAGTTCTTCACAAGGAGAGTAGTTAGGCCCTGGAACGGGCTGCCCAGGGAGGTTGTGGATGCCCCGTCCTTGGACGTGTTCAAGGCCAGGTTGGACGGGGTCCTGGCAACCTGATCTGAATGTGTACGTTTGGTGGCCCTGCTAGGCAGGGGGGTTGGAACTACATGATCCTTGAGGTCCCTTCCAACCCGGGTGATTCTGTGATTCTGTGAGTGTTGGGTGGAAACAGAAACCTGTGGAAAAATAGAAAAAGATGCACCTTAGCTAGTGGCTAGTTTTAGGGATCAGAGAAATAGTGATGTTGGAAGAACAGTTGACTTTAGGCTGAGTTTTGTCTTGCAAAGAAAACTGATGAGGTACAGTAAGCTATTTTTTAGCCATAGAAACTGAAAGCAAGCAGAAGAAGGGAACCATTGTCGAGAAAGGGTGAGATGGAGGCAAAAGGTGATGTACATAGAACCTGGAAAATGAATGCTGAATAAGCTCCCCCAGATTTCAGAAGTGATCATGAACAGAAGGACAGCATTTTTCCCAAAATGAGCACCTCAGCAGGGCACCTTTGATTTTTATTACATATGTCGTATCTATTTATATATTTTCATACAGAGTTATTGACTCATTATCACTTTGTGTTCTGCTGTCTTTGCTGGTCCTTTTCATGTTGAATTGCCATCCTGTTGATCCTAACTTTTGGTATCCAAATGCAGTGCTCTTTTATCAATTTTAGCAGGGGTTTTTCAGATCAATTTTAAATCTGATTTTTTTTTTCCTCTGGATTCAGAGACTGTTATGTAGTGTACTAGCACAGAATTGTTTTCATATGTAATATCTACAATGACTGCACAAAAGATTTTTACCAAAGTAAAGCAACTTTGTTCTGTAACATGTTGCTATGCAGATTAGGTTTGCTGAGCAAGTACTTGCAAATTTATAATTGAGATCTGATTTCAGCACATTAAAACATTTACAGAACTTGAGTATATGAATTTATTTGTATACTTATACGTTTCTTCTGTGCTAGCAACATGAAGGAATAAGATTTAATTGGAGAGTACCTGCCTCTAATCTGGTACCTGCAACAGTAATCTGGAGAAAATAAATCTTTACTGTCGTAAAAATATAGTCAGCTGGAAATCATATAGGGGTGAGGGGATGTGAGTACAGGAGGAGGAGTATTTGACAAAAACTGGATTGTATCATTGGCTGAATGATGAGAGAGTCATGGTCACAGCGAGGAAACAGTGATCTTTTACATGGCAAGGCTGGAAGTTTCATTTAATATATTTCCTGAAAGAATGAATTAATGCTCTAAAAAGTGAAAAGATCTAGAGAGTAGAAAAACATTCACTGAGGGGTTTTTGTTGTTCTGCAGTCTCAGTTTGAACTCAGGGTATTCCATATTCGTGGAGAACATGCTGTAGCAACTGCTCAGCTTGAGGAAACCATTGCACATCTGAAGAATGAACTCGATAATAAATTGAACAGAAGGAATGAAGAAGCAAGGGATATTGGTGTTTCTACTGAAGATGATAATCCACCAAAGACATACCGAAATGTATGTATACAGACTGACAGAGAAACTTTTATAAAGCCTAGTGAAGAAGAAAACAGAGCTGTGAAAAACAACCAAATAGTACCGAAAAAGCTTAATATTTCATCTTTGACACATAGTATTTCTACCCAAGGTGAAAATAAGGACAGTTATGATGTACCATCTTCAGAAAGTGTCTTGTCTTGTCAACCAAAACAAATGCTGCCTCCTCCACCACCTCCACCACCTCCACCACCACCTCCACCCTTCTCTGATTCTTCACTACAAGGTTTAGTTCCTCCACCACCACCTTTGCCAATGGGTCCAACTTCAGTGACACCTCACTTTGCATCTGGGCCTTCACTGCCACCTCAACTTTCTGAAGGCTGTAGGGATTTTCAAGCACCAGCACCACCACCACTTCCAGGGTTGGGACCTCCTGTTCCTCCTCCACTGCCTGGATCCGGGTTACCTCCACCTCCCCCACCCCCAGGACCTGGGCTCTTTTTTAATAGCACTTTATCTTCAAGTCAAGGTCCTCGAAAACCTGCCATTGAACCTAGCCGTCCCATGAAGCCTTTGTATTGGACACGGATACAATTGCAAGGCAGCAGGTACACTGAATTTATTTGGACTTATTTTCTGTCTATATGTCATGATATAAATTTATATAAGCTATTTAAGACAATAACAAGCAGTGAAAATACATATAGAAGCATGGAATTTGTATGTATTAACAACAAAACAGTTATAGAAGCCTAATAATAGATCACAACAAATTGTTTTAAAATGCTATATAAATAAAAAATTATGCACATTATAACAGAAAAAGCAGAGTATAACAGAGGGACTTAGAGCACTCCCTGAAAACTTTAGTGAAAGAGCAACCAAATATTTTAATTGTTTCGTGACTAAGTACTAAAGAAATAAAAAGTTTTCCAGGAGATGAAAGATAGCTTTTTTTTTCTTCTTCTTTTTCTTTTTTCCTATTAGAGAAAAGATCATTAAAATTAAAAGTGAAATACTAAAATTTGGTCAGGCAAGAACTTTGACTTTCATTTGCTTTGGCTCTCCAGTCATTTAAGGTGATGCTATCTTCAAAGCACCATATCAGCTTCTAATATTCTTGTTCTGGAAAAAAGTAAACTTGAGCTTAACCTAAGTATAGTTCTGGTGTAACAGGAAAGGTGAAGTATATCCATAAATACCTGCTGCAGAGGAACCTGTTGTGTAAAGCATCTGGTAAAAAGGAGGTGCAGTACTGACAGAGACATCTGCAGTTAAAGCCGTTTTATTTATATATTTCTTTTAATTTAGTTTTTGACTGAATTTATTTTTAAGACAACGAGTAATAACTTTGGATTTTTTTTCAATGTAACCAACATAGGAAGTTATTCAGTTTATATTTGAGCATTTTGATTGTACTTTCCCAAAATTACTTGTGAAAATTAGTGAAGCGACAGTTGGTCCAAAAATAAACCTTGTTTCATATTTTCCAATTAATTTACTGAGATCCAAATGTTCCTTCTGAAATGTCTATTTTGCACTCAGAAATATGAGTGCGAAATAGAGTCTAAGTCATAATTTGCTGATGAGATGCTGGACATCAGGTCCAATGATCCAGCATCATCATTTTCTGCACTAGATATGAAGTTTTTTTCAACAGTCTGCTGCTCAGAGCAGCAGCTATCTGGGACCTTAAAGTTCTTCTTACAGAGCCAAAAAGCATTATTCAATGAAGTGGTTGCAGCTGGTGTCCGAAGAGTGAAGCTGTTGAACTCTAGCCACTTCCCGTGATACAGAAAATGTTTCACCAGTGTGGATGCTCGTGGAAAAAGTAGAGTTCCTTAAACATTCACCGCAATAAATGTGTGGTTGAGTATTAAATAAAAACAATCCTAAATTTCAGTATTAATGTGGCTTTTAGAATCCTTTTCTCCATTATATGGGTACATATTACATTTTTTTGCATATTACATCTAATAAATATATGTATGGTGGCATCAGCTCATTTGTAGCTCATAGGCTTTTCTGCAATGTTTATGGTTTTTTTAGTAGCAACTCATTTTATTGCCTTTTACTGACATCTGCTGGAAGAAGTGAGCCCACCTTCTACTGGTAGATATGACAGAAAGAGCAGTCAAAAGACAGTTTTGTCAAATATACTTTCATAAGTTATTGAAATTTTGAAACTTGTTCAGAATTGGAGTGTTTGGTTTGACGAATTACAAATGATTTTTCCTAAATCCAGATAAAACAAGAGTATTTTGTTTAATATGTTCCAAAGTTTAAGCAGTGATGCTTATCTACACTATATCTGTTCCTGAAAGATTAAGGTACAAAAGGAAAGATAATGCGCATGTAAAATTTGAGAGACGTGGAATATTGATTAGTCTCCCAAGGTATAGGCCACTTAGGTTCTAGTTTCTTAAACCTGAAACAAAGTTACATATGAACATGAAGCATCTGAACCTAACACCAAGTGAGTCAAGACCTCTACAAATGCTCTTGAAACATATTTGAATAAAGTGTGATCACTATTTGTCGATATAGTTTATTTTAATATGTCTAGGAAGATTATTGGGAATTAGTCAAAAAAGCTGCTATTGAGATCCTAGTTGAAGTGGCAGAGATCTCTAGAGCTGTTATTTGCACAAGCTGCAGTTGCAATATATGGTTATTATACCAAAAAAAAGCCCTATCACATGTGCACTTTGATAGTTGAGCATGTAGTCTACTAAGTAGCTACACTTCTTAGTACAGCCTTCTGAAAAATATTTTTACTCCTTACAATAGTTAGATGCAGAGAAAGAATGCTGTTAGTATGCTAGCAGGGATTGTTTGAGTTTTAAGCCAATTGTTAATAAGGTTTTTTTAATAAATATTTAGTGTAAGTTTTTTTTTAATTATTATTTTTCCCTTAATAGGAAAACTGCCATACCAACATTATGGGAATCACTAGAAGAACCTGATATACTTGATACTACTGAGTTTGAATATTTGTTTTCCAAAGACACCACTCAGGAAAAAAGAAAACCATTATCAGAGACTTACGAAAAAAAAACCAAGGCCAAAAAGGTATTTAATTTTCCTTTGTATTTACTTTCTTCTTTATTTCTCTTTTATGGCTTTGTTTTGTATTTTAAGAAACTTCATTTTTATTTACTATTGAACCAGCATGTAACAGATGGGTTTCTAAGTGCTGTTATAAAACACAGTAAGTAAAATCGGTTGTTCAACCTTAGCGAGAGAATTCAAATATATTATTTAGTTTGGAAGGTTTCTTCCCTTTGAAAATGAATGTTCTACATCTTAGTGAAGTAGAAAAAATAATGAGTAGAACAGAATAGTGGCCAAGTAATGTTTTCCTAGAACGACATATATGTTATAATCCTGTTTGTGTGTGAGTGTGTGTGTATATACTGCATTATAAATCTATTTTAGTTTACCTGCTTGGAACCACAAGAGGGCTCTTTGCATGTAAGCTATGCTATCTACCTTTCTTGATTTTGACATACATACCAAGTGAACTTTCATACAAATATACTAGAGAGAATGGCTTTTTTAAAACTTATTTGATCATAAACTTAGCAAAGTAATTAATAAGAAATGTCAATAAGGCTTCAAGTACACGTGGTGTGTAGTATCCAATGTAATTTTAATGGAGAAATAGCATGCATAAATAGATAACTGCTTTATTTCAAAATCTCAGTAGCAAAGTGCATATCCTACCTCCCCAGGCCGGTGTCAGCAAAATAGTTTGGGAATTAGTCCCATTTCCTGAACGGTGAATGTGCGTGATTCCTTTTCCTTATTGCTTTGTAAATTAATCTAGTTACATTTAATGATTTTTAATGATCACTCTTAACTTTATCCAAAATTGAATTGGATAGTAGTTACTCTATACAATATATGAAGTAATGGAGTAGGAATTAGTAATTCTTAGTAATACCACTAGTGAGTAACTAATGTGTTTTCTTACAAAGATATTTTCTGTTTTTATATCAGTGTTTCAATTAGTTTGTTTTGTTTTTAAAGTTATTATTTTAAAGACTAGGTCAGATTTACTGAAATTATTGGAATAAAAAATGTTGCTTGAAAATGCTCCATAAAAATACAAAAACAAGTAACCTGACAGAAAAATTTATAGTTTTATCTAGTAATGTACAGTTTTATCTATTATTGTGCAAACTGATGAGATTATGATCATGGTGTTACAAAAAAATGAAAACCACTGCTCAATAATAAAGTTTCTGTTGCTTGTTCAGTTGAAAAATAAATCAGCTTTTAGATTTCAAATTAAATTTGAATTAAACTAAGCATATAAGCATTTCTTACTTTTAGTTTTGTCTTTTCTACTTTGTTTGTTAAATGAGTCCTAGTAGTTCAACTGTGTTTACAGACAGTTCATCCTCTTCTGTGGCCCTGTGTTTCCTCTGCCTCTGAAATCCTAGATTGTCTGCACGCTACTCTGCTAGCTCCAGTGGATCAATCTTAGTGGGTTGTGAGTGAAATGATAATAGGGGAGGCTAAAATAAACTTTTATTTAGTTACGGAATGGTTTATAAGTAGATAAATAGAAAACTCTTGTACATTAATGTTGAATTATCAGCTCTGCTGGTTTCATTTGTCCTTTTACATGCTTTCTTTCAGCATTCATCTTACCTTCTTTATAACAATTACATCTACTAGAGCTTTAGTAGTAAGAGCTTTAGTAGTAATCCTTTTCTTTGTGACAGTACAGAAATACATGCTTGTCTGGTCTTAAATATAGTATGTCGTGGTACATGGAGTTGTGTAGTTTGGTTAAAGATGCTTTATACAGGTGTCATGGAATCTGATGATGTTTATCACGTCATCATCATAGCTGATGTTGCATCATTTTGTATTTCTTTGTAAATTCCTGTTGTAAAAAAAGAAAAAAAAAAGTAAGATACAGAGACAGCTTTAAAATCTGGAACAGTAGTTTGTGTTTATTTTATTTAATACTACATGTTACCATTGACCTGTACATTGCATTAAATCTCTTCTCATCCATGCAACTTAGTTCTGTTAGTTCTATTTCCCATCAACTTCCACAAATTGAGTTTGGCCTGCTTTGTATTTAGAAAAATGGCAGGCCAATAGGTGGTGCAGGATCCCATGCTAGTAGAGCATTACTTAATACTTTTCTTCTTGAATGAGTGCCTCACAATCAAGTTCTATATGCAACTGGAAGATCTTGTCATAGAAATTCAAGGGGAATTGTCTTTATAAAAACCAAAGTGACTGTAACAGTTCTGGTCTTGTTGAAATATAACCTCTTTACCAATTATTTGCAGTTTCAAGTAAGATCATATTCAAATTATTGTCATAATTTATTTTTGTTTTTTTTTGTGAATCCTGTCAGAATAATCCGTAAGCCTCGTTTGTGAAATCATAGGATCGTACAACTACAGAATTTTTTTAGTTGGAAGGGAACTTTAAGATCATCTTTAAGATCATCAGAACCCTTCTCCCCACTATAGGCAGGGACACCTTGCACTAGACCAGGTTGCTCAAAGCCCCATCCATCCTGGCTTTGAATGTCTCCAGGGAGGGAACATCCACAACCTCACAGGGCAACCTGCTCCAGTATCTCAGCACCCTCACAGTTAAGAATTTCTTCCTAATATCTAGTCTAAATCTACCCTCTTCCAAGTTCAAAACCATTTCCCCTTGTCCTGTCACTACCTGCCCTTATAAAAAGTTTATCCCCAGCTTTCCTAAGGTCCCTCTGGAACCTTCTCTTCTCCAGACTCATGAGCCCCAATTCTCTCAGCCTGCCCTTGTAGGAAATATGTTCCAGCCATGAAACGAATGTTTATGAATACATGAATGCTTAAATGAATGTGCTAAAATGCTTAAACAAATGAATGCTTAAATGCAAGATACCACATTAAATCTGTAGAAATTTCACTTTGTTTTATTTTTGCCCACATTGATGACCCCTTATGAGAACTCTGATTGCAATATTCACTGTCAACTATGCTTTTGTTGCTTTTAACTAGACATCTACCATTTTCAGCCAGAAAAGTTTAAATCTTGTCCTGCGTGACTGGAAATAATGATCTATTTTCCAGGGCTCTTCTTAAAGTTATAATCTGAGTATATATTTATATTTGTGTGTATCATTATGTGTGTAAGAAAATGCAGTATAAAATTATAGTATATGTTTATAATACAGAAGTATATTATACACATGCATACCTTCACTGTCAAGATTGTAGAATACAAAGACGATTCTGTGGGAGTCGGTGTTAGCTCTGATTACCTTTGTGTCTTTACTTACGGAATCATAGAATCATAGAATTTTCTCAGGTTGGAAAAGAACTCAAGATCATCGGGTCCAACGACAACCAAACCATACAACCTTAACTCTCACAACCCACTGCTAACTCATGTACCTGAGCACAACATCCAAATGGTTTATAAACATATTCAGGGATGGAGACTCTACCACATCCCTGGAAAGCCTATTTCTGTGCTTAACAACCCCTTCTGTAAAGAAGTTCTTCCTGATAGCCAACCTAAACCTTCCTCTGGCCCAAATTGAAGCCATTTCCACTTGTTCTGTAACCTGCCACCAGTGAGAAGGGACCAACTCCCCACTCTCACATATCTTTCGGGTGTTTGCTCTCAATAAGTTCTCCCCTCAGTCTTCTCTTCCCCAGAGAAATCAGTCCCATTTCCTTCAGTTGCTCCTCGTAGGGGATATTCTCCAAGCCCTTCACAAGTTTTGTTGCCCTTTTTTGAACCTGCTCCAGCATCTCAGTGTCCTTTCTGTACTGAGGTGCCAAAAACTGAACACATTACTTGAGGTGGGGCCTCACCAATGCTGAGTACAGGGGCAGGATTTCTTCCCTAGCCCATCTCATAACACCATTTCTGATACAAGCCAGGATGCCATTGGCCTTCTTGGCCATCTGGGCAAACTGCTGGCTCATATTCAACTGATTGTCCATCAGTACACCAAGGTCCCTTTCCATCAGGCAGCCTTCCAGCCGATCCTCCCCAAGCCTGTAGAGTTGCCTGGGGTTGTGACCAAAATGCAGGACCTGGCACTTGGCCCTATTGAAACTCATACAGTTTACCTTGGCCCATCAATCCAGTCTATCCAGGTCCCTCTGTAGTGCCTTTCTACCCTCCAGCAGATCAACACTCCCTCCCAGCTTGGGGTCATCTGCAAACTTACTGAGGGTGCACATTTTTTATGACCTGGATAATGGAATATTAACTCTTCAGCTGTCACTTAGTTGCAAGAGGCTGCATACATTTTGAATTAGACCCTTTAGAAAGTTCCTATGCATCTGAGATGTGCTTATTCCTTTTTTTTAGATTACAAATTTATGCAGTTAAAGATAATCTACCTACCTAAAAGTACTATTAGTACAACTGACTAGGTAGTAGTTTAGCAGAAGTGATCTTAGGATAGTAATGAATCACAAAGAGGAGCACGAGTTATCAAATCATGATACTACACTGGAAACAAGACTGTTAAATAAACGGAAGTGTTGCTTGCAATAAAATCCATTCAGTCATGTTTTCATTAACAACAGCATCTATACTGAGGCACTACCACTCTTCATTAAAAATGTTTACTAACTGTAAAGAGTCAAGAAAAGTGGGAATGATCAAAACTTTAGAAGTAGTCTCTGAGTAAAATTCACTGATTATGATTGTTTAGTCTAGAAAAGAGGAGGTTGATGTGGGACAAAAAGTGTCATCAAGTGCATGCAGCTGCTGCAAAGAAAAAATAGGAAAAGCTTTTCAAAAGTAGGGATACTACAGGATTGTAGAGCACTTTTGGCTAAGGAATATGTGTTTCTATATTGGGAGATCATTAAGAAAATTTATTTAGAATAGTACATGTATAGTTGATAGTGTACTGAAGTACAGAAATGCTTTGGATGAAATTTCGAGTGCCTTTCCAACATCATGAATCTCAATTTAAAGTAAAAAAAATCTAGTTTCTATCCATTCTCCTATGGTTGGAAACAGCTGCCTGCCCCCTTTTTCCAGTGGAAGTGCTCCATGACTCTAAAGCATATTGCTTTTTT